CAATTTTTAAAATTATGAATCTGTGCGTTTTCTATTACCACACTGCCTGGTCATTTTCAGTGTTTTTATAAATTATGAAGGAAGAGGAGGAGGGTAGTGTGACAAACCCAGACCTACTGGGATATGTCACCCACTTTCACTGAGCTGCCACCAACCATTCCCTATAAGAAGTCACACAGACCAGGGATGGATTTTTAACAAATAAAAGAATAAGGTTTATTTACATAACACACAGGGAAAATAAAATGATCAAATGAATAAGATACAGTAACGTGGCTTAGTCTCAATCATACCTACACTAGTTTGGTTCACACAGAACGCATTTAACTAAAGCACAGACCCTGAACCTATCAGTTCTGGCTAACCCTACAGACACCTGAACCTATCAGGTTGGTACTGACTGACACACAGTAGTACCCTGTCTGACACACAGACTCCCACACCAGCTTCTTCTTCCCAGCTGCTGCTGCTTCTTGAACCTATCAGTTCTGGCTAACCCTACAGACACCTGAACCTATCAGGTTGGTACTCTGACACACAGTAGTACCCTGTCTGACACACAGACTCCCACACCAGCTTCTTCTTCCCAGCTGCTGCTTCGTCACATCCCAGTGTCTCACAGTGTCTCTCAGTGTCTCATCACCACACAGGCATCTCATATATATACAGTACAGCCCCTCCTCCTGATGTCCCGCCTTCCACTCCCCATAGGATGGAACTTTCCCTCCAAACCCATGACAGACAGGTAACATCAGTGCTGTATGTAACACCTCCCCTCTTTATAAGTTGTTTTGTAGGGGGAAAGCTAAGGTGCTTTTCACCAAAAAACAACCTGGACCCAAAACAAACAAAAACAGTCATATAATAACATACAATACCATACTTACTTATACTTACACTCTATTAGGCAATCATACCTACACTAGTTTCAATACATCAAGTTACCTTTATTCATACAAACCAAGCATGTTTAATAAACAAGCACATTTAACCTTTGGTCACCAAAATATATACATAGTCCATGTTCCTTCGCCGTCTTCATTCTTCGGGTCTTCTTGACAAGGCGTCAGCAACACAGTTCACTGACCCTCTGACCACCTTCACTTCAAAGTCATAGTCCTGCAGATTTAAAGCCCACCTCATAAGTTTACTATTGTGGGTTTTCATTGTCGTTAACCATTGCAGTGGTGAATGGTCAGTGCACAGAACAAAATGTCTTCCCCAGATGTAAGGCTTGGCCTTCTGGATCGCGTAGACCATGGCCAGGCACTCCTTCTCCACGGTTGCCAAATGTCTCACACCTTTTTGAAGTTTCCTACTCAGGTAGGACACTGGATGCTGGTCACCACTCTCATCCTCCTGGCACAGAACTGCTCCTACCCCGCTGTTAGACGCATCAGTGTAGATGATGAACTCCCGGTCGAAGTCTGGAGCACGCAGCACTGGATAATTGATGAG